ACTACTACTACTACTACTAAACACAACTTTAGAACTGAGCATGCAGACAAAATGCATCTTCCCACAGACTTCCATGCGAGGGAGTTGTATAAGACAGCGAATAGGAAAATGACAACTATGAGCACCCAACTACCGTGTCAAAAATCTACCTATTTTGGGAGAATACGTGTATAGTACCCAAATAAAGGGTGACAGTGGTGACTGTCACCATGCAGAATCGGAGTGGCCCACACCGGGGGGGCCACAGCCTACGATCAGAAATTGCTACCTTCGTAAAGATCAGGAAATTGAAACAACGTTTTGACAACCTCATACAGCGATCACCGATGGCCTATAAGAATCCAATCCTCGTCTTCAGCGGCTGAGACCTCCTCCTTCGTATCCACAGGGCCACAAACGTCCTCACTGACATCAAAGGTGATGACATGTTCATTCACATCCCAATGAGCGCCAACACGAGAGGCGTCAGACCGCCAAGTGGTGGGGGTGTCGGAGGCTAATTGCTGAGAACTACCCCCAGTAGTAGAAGTACTACCGAATCGGTCCCGTAGTGGACAAAGGTGAGTGCTCCAAACTAGAGTAGCCTTCTCACCGCGAACACTAGGGTCATACGCATACCGAGATGCAAGGCCATTGAGGCCACAGACCAGGACAGTGTTGGTGCTACCAAACTGAAGTACCACCTCGAGTTCATGAGCGGCTTGTGGGAGGTCTATAAAGCTCCATATCACTACAGAGGTCTTCACTACAGTTTTCCTAGTCGATGATGCACTACCGAGTATTCGACTGGCTATCAACTGAGTTAAATCGGAGACGCCCTCCCCCTCCATCACTGTCGTTGTCACAATTTTGTATATTACAATTTGACATCTACCTCCATCTACTCCTGCGATGAACTGCTCACTCGGTGATATGATCAACCCACTGAGGCCTCGACGTCTCAAAGGCAAATCGTAAAATGCCCGGTTGCGGCTTCTAACTGCATTATCGTCCTTCCCTGGCTTCACATGTCCTATGATAGAATACCCCTTAGGATCTTCTTCACTGAGCCCTCCTAAGACCCACAGCCCACCGTCCTCAAACCCACATGCTGTGACCGTCCCTGTGGAAGCAATGCTCCTCAGGTGCTGATGCTTCCGCACTGGCAAGGCCACACGAGAGCCATTGAATCGGCTACAGACGATGTAACCTAGCCTCTGCTCGAGTGCTACAATAACAGCAGGTTGCCGCCGACCAGTGGGTGCGGGAAGGGCTACTGTTGCACATATGTTAGGGCAGGTGTCTAGTTGCACTAAGAGGGCCACACCGTAGCTGTAGACCCGGACAGAATCCTCCGAGATGACTGCGAAAGAACCCGAGCCGACTACTACGTTGAGAACTGGTATGGTCATGACGATTTCTATGACTATAGCAGGAGGGGTGTGCAGGTCGTAGAAGGATACTTTCGTTGGCTCAAAGCGGCTGCCTTCACCGCCGACTCCAACAAGAACCAATATCTTATCACCACTAGGGACAGTACTGAGGATGGCCTCTAGTGAGAGAGGCTCAACCACTACGTAACCGTTTACACAGTTGGGGACTGCTATCACTGTGAGTAGAGTTGCTTCTGGGGAGTCTAAGTCGAAGAAAGATATCTCCCCTGATTCGTGGCCGAGAATAGCAATTGCGTTTCCCAAGCAATTAAGTGAGGACAAAGTGGTAGGTGGAGACCGGGTCGGTCGACGACGACGATTTATGGACACACACGTGATGGGGGAGGAGGGTAGTGTAGGAGGTGGACTCTTGTCGGAGGGGGGAGGGAGGCACGCAGACATTAAGAATACTATGGGGAGCCTCGAGATTGGTCCTGTCCAGGGCGGGGTCTTCTGTATATCCTTTATACATAATGTGTTTACACTGGTCAACCTAGATGGATGCCAAGTATGTCCAGTATCCTCCCTGGCACCACGCTCGAAGCGTTAAGATCACAACGTGTGTGGATTTGATCGGAAGTTGCTCGTGGATCTAGCGCACGCCATTATGATAGATTTTTTTGAACTAACAGGCATGCACCTCCTCCCCTGCGACACTCTGGAGGGCCGGTGAGCCCCGCTTGCTTTGTCGGAGGGCCTACGCTGGATTAAAGGGCGGCGCTACAGCGGAGGTAAGTTTAGGGATCTCGGGTGACAAGGAATTATAGGAAATTGTGATGGCTGGCGGATCGAGACCAGTGGGCAGCAGATAGGGAGGTGCCCCTTAGGGTACCTCTACCTTATTATCAAATATAGTATGAAGGCTCTGACTTTGACTGCCAGGGCTGTGTAGGTACCGATACGAGATGGAGAAAAGTTGGTATTGATAATTGTTGTCCTTCAGCCCGATACCCATACTCACTACGTGCAGCCGCAGTACTACGAGAAGCCCTACGCGGCAAGGATGTGACACCCTTGAGGTGTTGTTGTACTTCTTTAAATAAGACGATCTATCAGGAGTACGAGGAGACTATCTACAATTTCGTGAAGGCTCTCAAGATCTACTCGTTTCCCCTTGCCCTAGATGACATAGTACGAGATGGTGCAGAAAAAATACGTAAGTCGAAACGAATTGCTCACGCTTGGTGCCCTGTATAGTAGTTATGGTATTTAGGGGCGCCTCTGAAATTGATTTTTCCTTGTAAAATGTGGTATTAAAATTTTGTACTGAGTTATTGAAATTTTTTACTCAACAACTTTCGTATCATTCACTCTCGAATGGGCCCCGTTATCGAGGAAGGGATGGAGTATCTTCACCAAGGTGGTAAAATCTTCGTAGTGCGCATCATGTCATTGTATGTACTTGCCCCTGCAGAAGCTGCAAGGTGATCCCTAATCCTGTCGTTACTCTCGAGATCGGTGTCCGATTGGGAGTGTACAACGAATAGTGGTTTGGGGTGGAGGACAGTAACAAGCTGGATTGGCACAAGCCTTTGATGTTACGTACAGGTACTCGGAATCTCCCTCATGTTGAGTAGATATGGAACTTCTCTGTGTATTGTGTCTAGAGCATGAGATCAACTGTGTATCGTATCCTATCGAGATGGCAACCCTCAGGGCTTCCTCGCATGAGGTGCTCTTGGATGAGGTTTCCATCGGAGGTTGGTGGACTCGAGTTGTAGTGGAGAATTGGGAGGGCCATGTGGTTTTTGCTTTTTTTGTAGGGATGGAGTATCTTTAGTTTTCTTCCCTGTGCGTGCAAGATATTTTGTCTGCACACTTATAGTTCCATTTCGAATCATCATGACCCTTCCCGAGTTCTACCCCGCCACTAACGTCACTGTAGCCGAGCTCTCCAGCCGCCTACGTAGAGATGAGGACGGCGAGACTGAGGTCATCAGAGGGCGTCTGGAGCGATGTAGGTAGTGTTGGTTCGTCTGCTGCTGCTACTGGGTATGTCTCTGTGTGGCCTCAGGCAGAACCATAAAGTGAAGACGGCTCATCTCTGTGGGTTACGACTGAACGAGAGGACTTTCCCTAAAGGGGTCCTCAGCCTGACGCATCTCAGAAGGCTAGATTTGAGTTACAACAACCTCCTGCGGTTGGATGAAGAGTAAGTTCACGGAGGAGTGGTATGATACATGCTTTGATGGTCAGACTGGTGCGGTTGGATGCCTTACGAGAGTTGTGGCTGGATGGGAATCCTCTAGAGGAGGTAGGATGAGGCCGAGGTGTGGTATGGAGATATCCACAGCTACCCGTGTCACTACATCGATTGAAGCACCTTGAGCTCTTGTCGTTGCGAGAGCTGCCGAGGTTGAAGAACCTCCCTCGGGAGTATGCGGAGCTCAGACCTACACTAGTGGATGTTGGAGGGCTTCAAGGTTGGAGGGGTTCGCTCCTCGAATGGATTCTTGGTGCTGTTTTGTGATTGGAAATATTGAGCTCTGGGCGTTATGTATATACTTCCTACAGTGATGAAGGGGCTTTTCAGATTGTCCGATGATGAACCGAAAGCTGATTGAGGCCCTTAGGGTTGGGGGTATGGATGGATTCTTTACAGTGTTGGAGATCAAGCATACTCGAAGACAACAACGATGCGAGCTTGTACGCGGGGAACCTCAGATCGCCGCTTGAATGTGGTTATTCATCCTCTGGGTATGCTTACTTTCATCCTATTCAACGGTGTTCTATATGGCTGGATAGTAGTATTATTTTATTACGATCAACTAAGCCTGAGTCTGAGACCGAATTGGATTCGATCACTATAGACTCCCACGAGTGTATTGGAAGCTTCTCTTCTCCTTCATCGTCATTTATGTCGTTGAGGCTTTCATAATAACTCCAGATTCGCTTTCCTGGAGGCCCTCATGATTTGCTACAAGCATAGCTCACTGTCCTGATATTGGTTCTTGTAGACGAGGATTCTCACTGAGTTCCTCTACCCCTTTGAAGATCGTTCTACTATTCTTGCCTGTGCTAAGAGGCTTACTCACAGGATCAAGGTCGACAGCGTTACACCAGAAGCAGCGAGAGTTGCCATGGCCCGTCTTATCAAGTGGGATTAGACTTGGCTCCAGGCTGGAAAGACTGGGCTTTCGACCAGGCATGGGGAGCGTATACTTCCTGGTAAACTCGCTGATGTGGATGAGGATGTAGTGTTGGAGAAGCTCAAGGAGTTCGATGAGGAATTGCGGACGAGGGAAGAGGTGATGACGTCCAGGAGGAGCGTTGGTGCTACCGGGAGGATTTCACTCTGTTAGGTTGCAACACTGGAACTTCGAATGAAAGCAGCGATGGTGGATCTACCAATGGAAGTGGTACATGGTCTCGCCCTCAAGGTGGGCCCTCGGCCTGTTGCAGGGTGTTCGTCATTGTGAGTTTTGCATCCACTTTAGTTCAAGTCGACTGTGCCAGCTGCGAGAATAGGATGCATTTTAAGGAACTGGAAGGAGCTCTTCCCGACGTCAAGAATGAGTGCGGAAATGAATCGCGTTTTTTTATAAATTTTTTCGCAAGGAGTGGCCACAGTAAGGTACCTCGGAAATGCTTGATGAAGGTATGTTTGAGGTGGACGCCATATTAGGACGCTACACTGAATTGCGTCAAAAAAGGGAGCTCAAGAAGATCAGGTCGGCCGAGCTAGGCTTAGCGCTGTGCCATAGTGCTATTTACAGGGGGATATTCATGGATCGCTATCCGGCCTCGTCGAAAGAGGTTATCGATCCCGTGATCGATTATGTAATTCCTACTATCACTGGTGTGGTACCGCATTTGTGAGGCTGTCAGTTCATAACGACTATGAGTCCCGAGAAGAGGAAGCGTTTGTTGGTTGAGGATGCATTGAGAGGGGAGCTACCGAGTAGGGTTGATTGATAGGGTATGTCTGGTGATCAGGTTGGCGTATAGGCACTATTGAGGAGTGTCTGAGACTGTTGAGGGAGGGCTTGCCATTGATAACAGAAGCAGAGGCTCCATCTAGTGTCTCTCATGAAGTGTCGTAAGCCTGTGGTTGACCATTGTGTTTGGTGGGTAGGGTTCATGGTTTTATCGTCTGTAGCTTTACCACTGGTTTCCGTTATCATCCCTGAATATGTCAACAAACGTAGAAAGTGGAGCTCTCGACGGAGCCGCCAAGGAGGCAACTGCTGATGTTGTCCAAATTGACGTTGATGGTCCATCTCATCCTGTTGGTGGGGAAGGAGTGGGCGAGAACGAGCAGCACGATGTTGATGAAGATCTAGACTTGGGAGTAGATGGTGATGACGAGATCATGGAAATGCAACATAAGATCCAAGAGCTTGAGGATGAAGCTGAGCGATTGAGGCAAATGACGGAGCAAGGTAGACAGGTGTTGGGATTCCAATGGCCCAGCATGGGTGTCAGGTGCAACAGGGAATGGTGATGCTACTGCTTCTGATCATGAGAGTGTGGAGATGACTCCGGAACAGCAAGCGGCTCAGAGCCAGGAGCAGGATAGCGATCAGTAGGGCGGCGGCACATGTTGAGGAG